TTTGAACCCACCGTTGTACACTAAGCCCATATGGCTGGATCGACAGTAATCATATTTCTAGATTGATCTTACCCAAAATCTGATGGTCTCAAAATTTGTTTTACTTCCACGTACACTGACCTAAACTGCTCTAGCTTGCAACAAGATCTTATTTGTAACAAGTAGTTTTGTTGGTTGGTTAATCGGTCACATTTTATTCATGAAATAGGTTGGATTGGTATTATTCTGGATACGGCAAAATCATTCTATTAGATTGAATAAGTACATTAAGTACCTTGTGTCAGAATTGAGAAAGCCAATGTCTCGAATCTTGAGTATTATCTTGTTTATCACCTGTGTCTACTATTTAGGCATAATACCATCGCTTATTTTCACTAAGAAACTGAAAGAAACTGAAAGAAACCACAGAAGCAAGGGAAACTGAGGAAGAAATGGATGTAGAAATATAAAGAATTTCCGAAACGAAGGGTAAAAATAGGGATCAACCGAAGATGACCCATCCCTTTTTTGTTCAGAAGAAAAGGGCGATCCAGACAAAATAGATGAAAGAAAATGAGTAAATGGAAAAGAAAAAAACAAAGGATCACTACAACCTCCAAGAAAGATGGTATAACAATAAGACTGTATATCAGGATCAGGAAGATAATACTGCATATGGAGATGAGAATCAGGAAGATTAGGAGTTGAAAGCACTTAGACTTAAAGAAGAAAAAAAATTATTCTAGTTTGAAAAACCCTTTATTGTTTTTCTTTTCAACTATCAACGATGGAATCAACCATTTCGATATATAGAAAATAATCAATTTGCAAATACTGTAAGAAATGAAATGTCAACATGTTCAAGTGATGGAAAACGAGCAGTATCTTTCACATATCCTCCCAGTTTTTCAGTTTTTGGGGAAATGATACAAAAAAAATGTATTTATGTGGTATGAAAGAACTATATCCCAAAGACAAAAATATGTATAATCATTGGGTTTCTACAAATGAACAAAAAAGGGATAAGGTAAGCAAAGGAGTTCATAAATCGAATAGAAGCTCTATACAGGGGACATATTGTTTTGGATTTGCTCAAAAAAAAGGTCAAATTATGCAACGATCGGGATGAAAAAGAATGCTTACCCAAAATGTATGATCCCTTTTTAAACGGATCATACCATGGAACAATAAAAGAATTGTATTCAAATTCAATTATAAATGATCCAAACACTTCGACATATAATTCCGGAAAAAAAGTTTGGATAAATAGAATCCACTGTCTCCTTCTTTGTGATCTAAATGATCAAGAACATAGGAATAAATCTAGTGAAATTCAAGAAATAAAGAAAAAGATAGCTCGACGGTTATACAGATTAACTATCGATTTGGAATAAGAGGCAGGAGAAGATGAGGAAGAATTTGTAGAGTATTCTCAAATGCGTTCAAGAAAAGCCAAACTTTTGGTTATTATGCTGATAACAAGGAGAATACGAATACCTTTACTCATACGGGTGCCAGGACTACTCACGATCCAAATAATGATCAAATGGAAGAGGTGGATGTGATACATTGCGCACAGAAACCTGATTTTCGTCGGGATCTAAACAAAGGATCAATGCGCACTCAACGATGGAAAACAATACTTTGGAAAATGCTGCAAATAAATTTGCATTTCCCCCTCTTTTTGGATGGAATAGACAAAACCCTTTTTTTAATTTTGATATCACCTGAATACTCTTCAGCCGCTCCAAGTTAAACGAGTTCCCATATTAGCTTTCCATGACCAGTGTCATCCGGTTCTAGGCGCCTTGCTTGAGGCCATCCCCTTACTTGACCTCTTTCAAAAAGAGGTCAATGAATTGGGCCTCCTCTATAGGATTCCAATTGACAATCTGTCTCGGATTCATACTTGACGTTGCGATAACTGTGTCAAAATAGTGTTCACGAAATGCTCACACATACTCTGAACCTTCATTAAATGCATGAAAAAATAAGTTTTTATTACACAAACTGTTGAAAAAGTCTTCATCACCATAACAATTGCAATTGCCTTTACAGGACATACCGTATAATTTAAAACATAGAAATTGACATTTGCAAAAAGCATTCACATCAATAACCTGTAATAGCATGAACACAACACAGAAATATACATTCACCACACATGCATCTATATCATTGAAACCTTTGTGTTATGTCTGTCGTTTTTAGGAAACATTTTTAAGGTCATGCCGTCGTGACTATAGGGAGGCGTGTTTAAGGTCATGCCGCCATGACCGTCGAGTTGGTGTATTTTTAAGGTGATCTACCAAGATGTAATGGATGTAAGTTTAGGGTCGTGCCTTCGATACCGTAAGGTTGTGTGTTTTAAGGTCATTCACCAAGATCTAATACAGGCAAGTTTAAGGTCATGCCTTCGAGAGACCCAGTGTTATGCAATTTAACGTCTTGCCACTAGAACGTGTGCTATAGTTTAAAGTCGTATAGCTTGGACTAGTGCCACGCAGTTTAAGGTCGTGCATTTTGGACCGAGTGTCATGCAGTTTAACATCGTGATTGGGGACGGGTGATGCCATGTAGTTTAACATCTTGTGGCTAGGACGATGATACGATGCAGTTTAACGTCATGCGGCCAGGACATGTGCTATGCAGTTTAACGTCGTGCAACCAAGACTTGTGCTATAGTTTCTATAGTTTAGGGTTGTATAGCTTGGACCAATGCCACGTAGTTTAGGGTCATGCAGTGCAGATCGTGATGTGATGCAGTTTAATGTCATGTGGCTAAGACGTGTGCCATTGTTTAGGGCCGTGTAGCTCGGACCAAGGCTATGTAGTTTAGGGTCTTGCAGCGCGGACCGCTGTGTGATGCGGTTTAATGTCATGCCACCAGGACGATGATGTGATGCAGTTTAACGTCATGCGCCCAAGATATATGCCATAGTTTAGGGTCGTATAGCTTGGACTGAGGCTATGCAGTTGAGTGTCTTGCAGCGCGGACTGCTAGGATCATGATTCATCACACATAGGATTGGGCTCAAAGTTTAATCACCCATTGTTTATCAAATTTTAGATGATGTCTTTAGTGGCACGACAATCTTCGGTCATATGACCAAGCATTCTATGGTATCGACAGTAATTAGAGTCGTCGTCCCTTCCGACTTCCTCCAGCCTCTTTGATGTGGGTAGATCATTCCCTTAGATATGAGAGCTTCAAGCAACTTGAGGACCATGCCTTCGTCTAAGGAATAACTCGTGTCAGTTTTAACACAAAGAGTGCATGGTATCTGGCATGGTAGCTGCCGATTGATCATTATACTCAACCATTGTGAAAGGCTCTGACATCTTGCCATGATATTAAAACAAAACTTCCATTCGTGCTGCTTTGTCAATCATTTTGGTGAATGTGGAGGGACATATTGCGTTGACATGCATTGACAATTCTTGATGCATTCTTTCTACACAGTATTCGACTTCTTGAAGCTCGCTCATTGGAGTGGGCAAATTGATGGCCAGATTGCGCCACCTTCTGATGTACTCTATCACTTGCTCATGTCATTTTTGCTTCACATCAAGAAGTTCATAAAGCTGCACATTCTTTCCTATGTCATAGAAGCGTTTGAGGAACTCTCTCTCCATTTGTTCTCATGATGAAATTGATTCTAGCGGTAATCTAGAGTACCACTTGAATGTGGCTCTTGTAAAGGTCCCCACAAATTGTCGGAGCAAGAGATGCTCATTGCTTGCTGTATTTCCACAAGTGGAGACAAATTGGGCTATATGTTGTTGCGACGAGCTGGTGCCACCGTACTTGGGGAAATTAGGTCATTGGTAACCTTGTGGGAATGGAGTTTGGTCAACATGAGCTGGATAAGGTTTTTGGTAAGGAATCGGCTCTTTCCCCATTGCAACATTATATCTTTTCACTGCTTGTGCCACTATGTTCTTCACTAGTTCCTCATCCACAACCTGGGTTGATGGAGAAGGGACCAAGAGTGAGAGAGGTGTGGGTGGGAACAACTCTTCTTTTGATACATCGTTTCAATGGGCCGACATGGTGGTTGGGAGATGGTAAAGAAAGTTTGGTGTGCTGAGGGAGTATGCTCGACCTCATGGGACACCAACACCTCTTGGCAAATGGTTTTCAACATTTCATCATTTGACCTCATCTTGGCTTGCAATTGTCTTAATGTGGCCTTGAGCTACGCAATCTCGTCTCCATAGGATTTTGATGCCTCATCGATCACCATGATATTAACAATGACCATGCTTAAAGGTTCTTTTTCCCTTGAAGGGTCAAGTAGCTCATTATTGGGGAGCGAAGGGATAATGGAGGCTTTGAGACTGATTGCCTCATAACCTTCTTCATTTGGGGTGACACTCCAACAGAATTTGCCCATCACATAGAACTTTCGATCATGGGTTCGACTGCTGCCGCTTCAACATCATTGATGAGCCCACTTCATTTTTCAAGGCATGGATATCCTCATCATCGAATGAGAATGTGAAATTCTCATAAGACAACAAGATCACATCATCATTGAGAGAGAATATAAGAGGCATTCGAGACATGAAGAGAACATCCAATTGTCATCACAAGGAATCATAACACCTTCAGGGCATGGCGAAGCAACTTCAGTGAGGTCGCCAATAGAGAGAATGCACCTCATCCTATCCACTGTTGGGGTGATTTTCCTCAAATGAGAGTAACGAGCTCTCATCAGAGGATAAGGTGATTGGATGGACGAGGGTGCGGGAGGCTGCTTTCTGATCCAAATCACCAATTTTTAAAACCTTGGCAACAACCTTTCTTAGAAAATGCCACCTTCCAAAATGCCTTGGCATTTTCTCATTTGAAAGACTATTAAATAATATGTAGTCTTTAGGTAGGGCTATGAATGAAATGATCAAGGGTGATGGAAAGTGTGCGCGAATCACTACAGTCATGTCATGTCGTAATGGGACCCACTCTCACCACCACCAACCATGCATCGAACAGATGATACTGACCGAACAGGCTACACTTTCTTCACAGTCCAAAGAAATATATTTTACGTTGTGATATGTGAGCGTACATAATTGAACAGATCAATTAAGACCTTCAAGAACCCATCCATGTACATTAACTTCGAGTCTTTACCTTTTGAATTCATGATGGGGAAAGGAACAATAGAATGGGTGATTCAAATGAGATCAGACTACATTATATACACGCAGAATGCAGAGAGTGGAATTTGGGGGTGGGGTTGATTAAAAGAAGTCCCACTGCCAATAAACCTTCTCCACTATTCCTCCCCCGCTTCGTACAGCCACATGGAGCGACTCGGAGGCAGGCGGAACACCCCATAACAATGGAACCGCTACCGTCATAGTCAATTTCTCCTGCAACCCTCCTTCACTTGCTTTTTCTGTTGTCACAACCTAAAAATTGAAACAATTGTGATAAGCACCATTAAATATGAAAAGTACTTGAACTTTAACATTTGGCAGTTTTGAAGGATAAAGAAAGGATACCATAGCATACACCATTGTTGTATGGGATATGGTAGACCAAATGGAATCATAGATGATGAACAGTGAAGATTGACACCGTGGGGTCCTCAGGACATTTCAACAGGTTTCTTCTCTGGTGGATTTTCTGTGTGTGTGTGTCAGAGGGAGAGAGAGAGAATAGTGACGTGCTAATATGTAAGTAATTGAATACATCAACAAGAGCACTTTCAGCAATTGCAATCTACTCATATTGATATGGAAAGGTGAGCCAGCACCCGAGACACACGGTTACTTCTCTGAATATGTGTCTTCAGCATGTTATGGAAGGATACATGTCCAGATACAGAATTACATACTTATGCTCAGAGACTGGACGTGCATGTCCTTATTTCAAACATGGGCATCTCATATGTAACTAATTCTGTTTATGTATTAACATCCTATGTCAATATGTGAATAATACACATATATACGCATTGATATGTTTGGATTCGACGGTCACATCCAACCACAGCTATTTTTAAGGAGATTGTCAGACAATATATCTGAAGCAAGCATTAACTCAAGTGTCTTTTGTGTTTGTAACATAGAAAACGAGTAATTGCTCATAACATATAGAAAATTGAAAAGACTGAAGATGGGCCGAGGAAGAGGATGATGGTTTGGTCTTCCAAAAGACAAGATGATCATGAGAAAGTCCTGACAGAGTTAAAATTGGGTGTAAAAATGAGCTCTTCAATCCCAGTAAAAGGAACAACCATAATATTATGTATTTTCTCTTGAAACTACATTACTGAGATGACCAGGCATATGGTCATTTGGAAAACATAGATAAGAAACCAAAGGCATACAAGTGATAAGAAGATGAAATGTTTGAAATAAACCAGGAAACTGAAGTACTTCAGAGGACAACATCTTGAACAACATAAATGGGCCTGCCTAATAGCAGTGGAAGACTCTTACAATATTCCAAAGGAGGTGATAGTTCATGTTACTTTTGTTTTTCTTTCCATTCTAACACATTGCAACAATGTTTCTAATGAAATGAGGATTTGTGACCATTGGAAAATCAGACAAAAAGTTATAATACTCTACATCTCCCAGAATAGTATGAATATTGCAGAATCCGACAAAAAGCTATAATACTCTACATCTTCCAGAATAGTATGAAGATTGATTCAATCCAACTGAAATACTGAGCAAGGTCACAAAAAGTAGGATAGATATAAAATATGACAAGTTGGCAATATGCTTGAAATACAAATTTGATTAGAAGTACAGCCAAATATTTATTTTCATTGTAAGATCGGAATGAAAATTGCAGAGAGCCAGCACAGCAACTTTATCTGAAACTTAGAAGGGAAAATCCTCCAACAGAAGTGTCCTGCTCCCATGTATGGTATTCCTAGGTAATCCTTTGGAAATATATGGACATTATAACCCAAACTTGCCAGCAGACACTCGAGCTCTAAACACAACTGTGAATCTGGTGTATAGCAGTCACTAGAACATTACTAGTTATCAATTTTCAAATAAGAAAAAGCCTTAGTAGAAAAGAGTAAGTTAAAAACAAAAATTTTCTATGCTTGTGTAAAACTTTTGTTGTAGCTTGAAGGACCAAACATCCTGGACCTTCGTGGCCATTTTGCCCTAGATCGACAGAAACACTAGTTGACAAATTAATATTGGATGTCCGATATTAATCATGGTAGAGCTATATCAGATCAGCCTATGTATTTCTAATTTAAATATGACATATTGACCAATCCAACCTACCCTGTCATCATTGACAGTGATCATCCCTTGTTACAGTGAAGTCGCTCTTGCATATTGCACTTGTTATTAGTAGAAAATAGGTACTTACAAATAGAAGAAAGAAATAAGCCATGACATCGCAATGATCTTCGCATTTTATATGGATAAACCTACTGTAACTACAAAAGTTCATCAGTACATAAGATGCCCAGACATGGAACACTAGATGGGCATGGGATATATAGAACAAGAACATGACCCAGCATTTCTCAAAATACATGATATGGACACTGATACCAGTATCCCATCTAGCATACCTAGAAATATATCGTAAAGCTTGTATAGTAAGAACTATAGGCATCCAACAAATTATACATATATATACACCATATCATAATGCATAATATTATAATTGTATTTTGTTTTCTTTTGTATTATATTTTTAAATTATGCTAAATGTACACTTGCAGGTACTAATGTAAACATATATAGATTTATGCATGTAGACACACAGACACATGTGTGTCTTCTTTGGGCAAAAAGACTTAGGAAGATTTTTTTTCCAACTGCGCAAGGACCTGGTTTTCAAGCCTGAAGCCCCCCTCTCAGCTTCGGGCCGGCTTTTTGGGTTCCCTAAGCAGATACTGTATAGCACTCTGTTGCAGCTATGCTTATTGTATAGGGGCACCCGTCTGTGGGTAGCCTATTTTTTTGGTTGAAACCCATCTGTGTGTTTAACCCCCCTCCTTGCCTATCTTTGTACTTAATTTCTTTAGTTCAATAGAGTTAGCATGTTCCAAAAAGACAGACACGCGCAGATGGCAAACATACTACTCATTTCTTCCTTGGCCTTTTCGAATTTTCTGTAGGCTTACAGATTTTATCTTTTATGTAGAATTGGCAAGAGAGCATCTGCTTTTAAAGATATTGGTTCATAGATGAAACTTCTCATACTTAGCAACCATTCACAAAGTCCACTATGATACACCACATAGCAATCATTGCACCCCTTATCGAATTACTCCACACGACACTAACTTACATCCAGAAAAGGAAAATGAATAGCTATAACACAAGAAAAGTCAATAATACTATACCTCTCCACCATGTTCTATTACGGCATCTTCAACAACGTCACTCAGCATCTCAATGGAACGGCAGAACCCAAAGATGCAAAATCGCCTTCCCATATTCAGTCCCTAGTAAAATTGTTATAGTCATAGTTACATCAGTTCAGTTGTTCATACCATGAATTATGGTATGGATCAAGAAGCATGAAATTTGCTTACATTCGTCGCTGCAATATCAAAAAGTGCGCCCAGACAGAGACCCTGCTTGGGGTCCATGTAGTCCCTTTCCTGGAAACGCTGGAATCTTGGTGAGGCCTTTCCTTTTCCAAGCTTCTTCTGCACACAGGACAGGTATTACAGAGGAAAACAGAATACGTTATTTGAGTCATGTAAAAGACGACATATTTCTTAGAAAATCCACAGGTTTATAATATAAAATTTTTTAGCACTATGGTGTCATTGCTGGTGAAGGGATTGTTAGACAAAACCAAATGACAAGTTCTGTGTCAAAGCAGTGGCACATGCAATCGTATACCAACAGCTATGCAAAAAACAAGTACTGTATACATTCCCTGATAGATGCATAATGAAATAGAAGACAGTTGATATTGACAACCATTAGGCAGCAAGAAGTTTAGTAGGCTCGAAAACATGACTGACCAGGAACATGGTTGAAACAAATAAAGGTTTCTAGCAGTTACAACGCGTAGAAAAGCTTCTGAAGGATTGATGCCAGGGGTCAAAAAGTAGATAGTGTCACTTCAATCCCGTTCACATTATGGGGTGAATCCCCATTTCTTATGTCACTCCTACCTTCCAACTGTTTATCTATATGGTGATTATGAAGCTAGGAAATCCCCCTCCAGGAAACGGAGGATTCAACCTTCAAGACATAAGGTTCTTGAAACATCTATTTCCACCTATTGCAGAAATTTAATTAAATCAGAAGATTCAATTACAATTATGTAGAGAAATGAATCATACATCTGAAGACTGAACTCGCTGAGGAATTAGAGAGCCTCCTATGTTCACAAGTCCATCTGCAGTGAACAGTGTTACTCTGTCACATTGTACCCACTGAATATCTGCAACAGCAGCTATAATCAGCTCTCAAACTTCACGAGGACAACAACTATGATAGGGTCAGTGCAAAATCTCTTGTCAATATAATAAAAACTACTTTGGGGCAAAGTTTTCTGAAAGAACTGGTGTCATGTTCAAAGTTATGGCACAAAAACTTCTAACAGAATATGCAAAAGAAGATCAATCACTTCTGAGACAAAACAAAATCTCCTGCCATACATGGGTTTCATGATGCAAACATGTCAAGCATGAAGGGGATCAATCACTTCTGAGACAAAACAAAATCTCCTGCCATACATGGGTTTCATGATGCAAACATGTCAAGCATGAAGGGGAAATCTGAAAAGCACAGACAGATTAACTACCAACGTGGCAAAAAATTACATGTACAAGCTCACAGTAACAACACATTCCTCTGCAACAAGGGACTGACAAACATTCAACACAACAGAGTTAAATCACATGGAAAATGTGCTGAGGGTTCATTGGATGTGTTTGACGAGCATCGCTGCACTGGATCACATTAAAATTACTGAAGCATGCATGCTTGCACTAGAAGGATACAAGGAAGGGTGGTCTCCTAGGATTATCTAATATCACATGCACACTTACCCCACAAATGCATAATTTAACATCAACACAGCTGTGAGGAATGGACATAAAATATTTTGAAAAACTGTTTAATGAATGCGCATAAAAGATTTTGCTTTCTTGTTAAGTATATCCTATGGCTTCTTACCAAGATGAATAGAAGAATGGTCACAAATGGAGGAGAAGAAATAAGGGGAACATGATCCCCCAGCAATTAAGACATCATCTGACTCCACATTGGAAGATTGTTCAGGAAATAAAGATGTCAAAGACAAACTCTAACCTCCTCCTCGAGTAACCTCATAAGCTACATCTGTATGTCTGAACCTAGCTCACTTATATGTTTTGTCAACCCATACTCTTTACTGGTGATAAGATGTGTCAAAATTGGAAGTGGGCATGCCATTGGAAGTCCTCTTAGGATCAGCTAATAGTTCTTCTAGGAATCCCAAGCTAGATAGTCTACCCTCACATCAAAGCTCCACACCTTATAATTACCGCTTAGAAGAGAGGTCAAAAGTGCATCGAAGTACATACTACACCATCCCGCCAACCATATGCAGAAAGCTAGAATCACGTGAAGGTGGGTTCTTTACTCTAATTAGTTTGCAACAGCATCCTCTCTTGCTACATGGATATTATATGAGGCTAAGTTAGCCGAGGAAGGTTACACATGCATCTCTACAAACATTATGAAGTTCAAGACAGAAGTCAAGCAAGGAATGAGGGCAGACCAATATGTGAAACCGAACATACCCTTCTCCCATTACATCACCCATAAACTAGAGAAGAAAAGTTGATCCCTTCTACATAATGGTTCCCACTCCGGTCTCCTTAATCTTAGTGCATAAACAACAGATAAAAACATATTGCCTGTTGTATATAATCCAGTTCAGCTTACCAAGTTTGTGACCTCCACTTGCTACCAGCAACACAATCACGTTCCCTGAAAATGTTCATGAATTCTGCTCCTTGTAATCAGCACATAGTTTCCATAGCAAGTTATGTTAACAAATGCAGCCGCATAGTGCATTATGCAACTGCATACACATATCTGCCGCATATGTGGCCGCATTGTGTAAGGGGCGAAGCGCCCACCTGCTTGTAGGTGGAAATTTTGCCCACAATCTGGGGCAAACCTCTCCCAACCCCACCCCATTCCAACGGAAAGGGGAAGAAAGGATTTGGGGGTTATGTAACCCCCCAAGCATCCCTTGAACCTTATTTCCATGGTTCTAAGTAAGGTTCTTGAAACGCATGACTGTGGACCCAATTGCATTGGATGAACCCAAGGGCACAAGTACGTGCACAGTAGAGCCACGATTAGAGCAGGTGTTTGAGGGTGAGGACCTTCCATGGTTGAATGTCGAGCAAGCTACGGCAAGGCGCAAGCTACGGCAAGGCCTAGCAGTAGATCACAAGGGAAAGGAATTGGGCCCACATCGACATGATTCCAAAGATTGAGGAGGCTGTCTCGGAGGCGATAGACGAGAAAGACATGCATGTGGAAGAGGGTGATAATGCTGATGACAACTCTTCAACCTCGTGTTTGGATGGAGGCAATGCACATGATGGACTGTCACATGACAAATCTGATTAAGACTCGAGAGTTGGCTTATTAACTCACTGAGCTTGAGTGTATTTATTATCTTTCATATTCTTATGTGGATGAACTTTTGCTCATTGGAGTTTAAAAGTTATGTTTGGGATGTGGCTGTGAGGTTGTAGTCGTGAACTTTATCATAATGAAGTATTTTTGGTATTTGGATGTTATGTTAAATTGTTAATTGTCATTACTATTGGGATGGAATGGATTTCTTGGTATTACATATAATGCAACAATTATTACTCTTTATCAGATTATTAGGTTATCAGGCAACTCAGTCAGCTAATGTATTACATAAAGTACTTAAATAAAATTTCTATTATCACATAGATCACACATTTGTGTTGCTTTATGCATTCTTATATTTTTGGTACCTTTTTATTTTCTTAAAAAAAATTTAATGACCACATGCATGTTATGCACCCCCCTCGCGACCGCATCAAGCCGCATCCCATATCCGATCCCCGACGACATCGAGTCCGCATCTTGCATTTGATAACTTTGTTACGAAGTTGGCATTTTTCCAATTGTTTTCCCCTCTTGTTTCTCTTTGCAACCAAATGGAGCACATAATTATGAGCATTTAGGACCAATGAACATGGATTTGCATTGAAGAGTCCTCTACTTTCTGACACAGCAGAGTGGGAAAAGCAAATAAAAAACTAGAAAATTGTGCCTTTTTTAAAAATGTCTGAGAGCCTGCAAGGGAATCCACCGCAAAAAAACACTTCGCAATCTCAAAACCAATTACTCTTCTTCATTCCTTATTTTCACAATGGATGATATATTTATAGAAAAAGGAAAGTCCAAATATCCTAAAACCTCACAACAAAAAAGCCACACATGGCCTTAAAATATCTACAATAACGAATAAGCTAAATACTCCTAAAATATATTACGAATTTAAATACCAAAGTAACCCAACAGTTCCCTTAAAAAATAAACCCCAACTATATAGAAAAGAAGCACAGTCTAACTACATCATTCACCAGATGCTGAGATATGTTCGTCCTGAAGCCTAAGTAATTCAAAAATTTTCCTTCTCTTCTCCACTTTGTTTCTGCCAGAGAAAATAGAAAGCGAGAGAGGAGAGAGAGAGAGAGATACATGAGAGAGAGAGGAGAGAAAGAGATACGAGATGTGAGAGAGGGAAGAGAGTGACGTAAGGTCTGATTGGCCCTCATGCACCCCTTAAACTCGTAATATATTATTATTAAATTGTGACAGTACCAAAAACTGCCCATACGAATAACAAAGAAAACTTAAGTTCTAGAACTTAAATAGTAACACTCCCCCTCAAGTTGGAGCATGAATGTCTCCCATGCTTAGCTTGGAACAAATATTTTAGAACATACATGGAATAAATAGTTTAGAACATATTACGGCCATGGCTTTTGGTGAGATGTCTGCCAGTTGATCCTCAGATTGTATATATGGAGTAAACACCTGCTCACTAGCAACTTTCTCTTCGATAAAATAATAATCTACTTCAATATGCTTGGTACTTTCATGAAACACTGGATTACTAGCTCTATAAGTGGCAGATTTATTATCACAATACATCTTCATAGGTTCAGCAACAGTAAACCCCATCTCTTGCATCAGTGTTTTCAACTACATCAATACACATGTAGTACATGCTATTGCTCTATATTTAGCCTCTGCACTATATATGTCCACAAAATTTTATTTCTTGCTTTCTTCATATTACCAAGTTTCTACCAATAAATGTACAATAACCTGTGGTAGACCGCCTGTTAAATGGTGAACCTGCCCAATCAGCTGAGTAACATTCAATAGCCTCTACACTATATATAGCTACAAAATTTTATTTTCTTGCTTTCTTCATATTACCAAGTTTCTACCAAAAATGTAAAATAACCTGTGGTAGACCGCCTATTAAATGGTGAACCCGCCCAATCAGCATGTGAGTAACATTCAATGCCCAAATGATTATTTGGCTTGTAAATCAAACCTTGACCTGGGGCTCCCTTGAGATACCTTATAATCCTATGAACAACATACCACTGAGGAATCCTTGAAGCATGCATAAACCAACTCACAACACTTAGTGCCAAAGCATTACCAGGGTGGTGATGGTCTGACAAATCAGCCTGCCTACCAGTCTTTTGTTCCTTCCTAGATCCTCAAACAACTCCCCTAAACGGTCAACAATTTTTTATTTGAATCCTACGGCATATACACTGGTGTACCACCCAACATTCCAATCTCTTTCAACAAATCAGTCATGCATTTTTCTTTGTGATAAACTAATGCCATGCTTGATCTGGCCACTTCAATTCCTAGAAAAACCACAATTGTCCTAAATCCTTCGCCCGAACATACTATTTTAAATGTCTCTTCAAATGACTAATTCCTTTTTTATCATTGGCAATGACAAAAATATCATCAATATAGACAACTAAAACAATCATTATGAAATCCTCTTTCTAAATAAATACCGAATGATCTACATGGTTGTGGCTGTACCGAAATCCATGTAATCTAACAAGTTCATTGAGTTTTTCAAACCATGCACATGGGGACTATTTCAGTCCGTAAATGGCTTTCTTCAACTTACTTTCTCTGACTCCCCCTAAGCAACAAACCCAAGTGGTTGCTCCATGTACACCTCCTCTTGTAAATTACTATGAAGAAAATCATTTTTGACAGCAAGCTGCCACAATGGCCATCACTTGTTTCAGCCACAATTATAACCACTCGAACTGAATTAAGTCTAAAAACAGGGAAAAATATTTCAGAGTAGTCAATGCCAAATATTTGGGTATCCCTTGGCTACCAATCTGACTTTTAATCTTTTTATGGTGGCATCACATTATATTGACCGCATAAACCCATCAATACTCAACGACCTTTTTCCAGCTAATGACTCGGTAAGTTCCCATGTATCATGTGAATGAAATGCATCCATCTCCTCTCCCATTGCTCTCCTCCCAGTATGATGAAGTGTTTCTTGATAGGTATTAGGAACAGAAATGGATGAGACAACTCAAGTAAAACTTTCATATGATGAAGACAAATTCTTAAAGGTAACAAAATGTGCAATCGCAAGTTGATTGTAATACCTTATACCTTTACGTGTGGCAACAAGTACATCATCAGAAGAGGATGGAAGTGGATTAGTAAACGAAGATGATAATTGACTGGTTGGCTAAGTTGGTGGGGGATGTCAACCCTACATTTTTCTTCCAGTGTAAAAAGGTTGCTTTTAGAAAACATCATTACTTGTAGAAGTCCTAGATTCAATGGAGTCAGGTAACAGGTCAAGACGAAGTATCAACATGGATACGAAGAGGAATCATGGAAGGCAAGGACTTTGAGACTTCTTTAGGAGCAAGATAAAAAAATATTTGTATCAAGCAGCAACTCTCTTTTGAAAAATAAGATGTGTTGTCAAAGAAGGTGACACACGACAAACAAATTCTTTTGTAAACTAGGATGATAACAACGATAATCATCATGGAAGCATGAACATCAGAGAGAGACAGACATAACAGCCCGGGGCTCTAGCTTATCCTTGCTAGTTCCTAACATATGAACAAAGTAAACACACCCAAACACTCAAGGAAACACTCAAGGACGAATATCAAACAATGAGGCATCACGAAAGAGAACCAAGTGTAGTGTTTCTCCATTTAAGACTGAAGAGGGCATACAATTAATTAAATAGCATGATGTTAGCAAGGCACCTCGCCAATAAACCTTTGGAAGATGCATATAAGTGAGCAGAAAACGGGCTCCTTCAAGCAAGTACTATTATTTCTTTTAGTAACCCCATTCTATTGAGGAGTTTGTGCACAAGAAGTTTGGTGTAAAATCCCTTTTTTACAAAAATGACTGTGAAATTCTCTAGAAAGATACTCTTTAGCATTATTACAAAGCATTCTTATTGAATTGAGTTTGGATCTCTTTGTGAAACAATTTAAAAATGGAGAAAATCTCAGATCTCTCTTTTATTAAATATAACCATGTCATTCGTGAATAATCATGCACAAAAGTTACAAGGTACCAGTGATAAGACAAACTTAATGCTCAAACTGGACCCCATATATCAGAATGAACCACTATAAACGGAACAATTCTCCATTTTGTCAACTCTAGGTTAAAAGGACACTCTATGATGCTTTCCTAACTGACAAGTTTCACACTCTAAAGAAGACAGACACCAAAGGAGGGACTAACAACTTCAAGTTATAGAGAGAAGGATGACCCAACCAACAATGGCATACGAAAGGAGAATCAGAGTGAAGAATAGTTAGTACAAGCCACCTGGCTCATACCCACCACAAATCGTCCTCTTCCTCTTTAGAACTTGAAAAACACAAGAAAAAAGATAAAAGGTTACAGGGCAATGATGAGATTTCGTTAATTTGGTTACCGATAATAAATTGAAAGGGAAATTTAGGACGTATAGTACAGTTGACAAGAAAAGGGAAGAAGTAGGCATAACTATACTATGCCAAGATACTGACATCAATCTATCAACCAGCATATCAGAGGAATTAAGAATGCACATATTTAGAGATACAAAAACAAAGGACTCACCAGTCATGTGCTCAGAGGCTTCTAACCCAATACCCCAGGCAGAAGTACTTGAATTGGCAAGGGTTGCAGAAGAGAAAGATGAAACTATCTACTGTTGTACTTGTTCAACAAGTTTATTATGTTCTTCGTTGGAAATAACAACAGAGGCACCACCAGAATCTGACTGTTGGTAGCGATCACTAGGTCCATTCAGATAAAGCTCATCACTTTCAGATGCGTAAGCAACCTGGTTTTCCCAAGCAGCTTATGAGCCTTGTCCCAATACTTATCAACCATATGATTTGTGCACTCACAATGCATACACTTGAGAGTACCTCAAACCTTGCCACCATCAACCCTACCTTGGCCCCTTCTTGAGTCATGAACACATCCCTGATCTCTATCTCCATCACCTCTCCCTACAACTGTATTCAATGTTGGTGTATTATTAATACTTGAGTTGGAAGGAGTGGGAGAAGATATATTGATACATTTAAAGCACGTGTAAACATTAGTGAGAGATGGGCATTTTACTACTTTCCAAGATCTGTTCATATATAGTATGGCACTCAAGATTATAGCCAAATAAAAATTTGGCAACCCTAAATTCTTATGATGCCTCTTCTGTAATTCCACATCACCGACATAGGCTAACATAGATTCAACCCTTCACACATACCCCTGAGAGTACTATAATACTCACTCCACACTCTTATTACCCTGTTGAAATTGAAACATTTTCTCAAACACATACACTGGACAGATATATTATCTGATGAACATGTTTCTTTCAAGGTGTCTCAAATTTCTTTAGCTGTATCAAGAAATATGACCTTGGCACTTGTATGGGTTCCATAATACTCAACAACCAGATCATGATTATGTAATTCTAATTCATCCATTGTTCATATCTATTATCGGATTTACTAAGCTTGTCCTCATTCAAGTATTTCAATTTCCCCCTTACATCAAGCAATACTTTCATAGATTGAGCCCATACAACATAATTGGACTCAGTATTAGCAAGGCGGTTTGTATTCCTACAATTTTTAGGAAGACAAAGGATTCCAAGTTTAATTTCCTTATCCATTAGCGTATAAGATAAAGGGGAAAGAAGACAACTAGGATTGCCAAATTTCAGTGACTCACACAAGCCTAGTACAATGTTAGGAACCACTTAAAAGGATATGGATACTTACCATTCAGGCATGAATGAATAAAGATCTCTCTAAAAGAGAGTTTCATGAGGTCTGCTTGCCCCTTAGGCACCTCTTAAAACATATATATTATTAGTAAATATGAAGGGAGAAAAAACTGCCCATACAAATAATAAACGAAACTTAGGTCTTAGAACTTAAACAACAACGAACTTTTAACAGTTCTAACTAGAAATCTTCACCTTTTACGAGTAGAATTTGTGATCGACCAATGAAAACATGCAATCCTGGGAGGCAACTACAATGCCAAAATCTTTTGTACTCTACACCACTTGTTCTTTATGCCTTAGAGTCTCAACCTCGAGTCTTTAGGTGCTTGTTGTGGTGTTTGATTAATGATTAGATTACAAACCGATTTTTTTATCTCCCCAATTTTTGCACTATTGTTCCTCATGTTGTAATAATACCCTCAATAATTCTTGTTCTATATGTATCATATATTTTCCAAGGTATTCTTCCACGCCTTTTTAGAATCTCTCAAATATTTCATCCACATGCTCCAAAATTGGATCCTTAGATGCTTTTGATAGCATCATGTTGTAGCTATAACACTATTTTTCACCATGGAGGGGGGAAAACAAATAAAAACCAGTAAAATAAAAAAGAAGAGTCTAATCGATTATGCTCTCTCATAGCCTGCCAGGGCAATCACCAAAAAAAAAACAGTCTCAAAAACAATTACTCCTCTCTATAACTTTCTTCACAATAGATCATAAAAACAAAAAAAAACCTAGGACCCTAAAAATATCAATAGTAAAAAAAGACAATTGCCCTTAAATAATCTGTGTGAAATCTAATGACCAGACTAGTCCTACAGTTTCTAACAAATAAAACCTGACCACATAAAAAGGAAAACCCTACTGTATCCTTCTTACAATATACATGTCACGAGTTTTCTTTAACATTGTGCACAAATTAGTTATTTATATTGTTCCAAAGTAATAGTTATTTTTATTTGCATTTGACACATTCAACATATGATCAATCAATTCTGTGGTGAGGGGCAACAGAGAAATGGGTAACTGCAGTGGGGATGAATTCAGCAAGAACAAGCATTTAAGAGCAAGGAGAATGATCAAAGATCAAAAGCAATTGTGCAAGACTTATCCTATCATAAAGGATTCATTTCATTGACCCCAAATCAAACCCAAATCCATAAAACTAACAAATTATGTTCTACACCCATAAGGAGTACAAGAAAAGAGGAGAAAAAAGAGAGAAGCAAGACAACAGTTAAGGCTAATACCATTATCAGAGAGAGACGGTTCCTTCTCCCAGGGGTAGCGAAAGTGATCATCTCCAATCCAATCATCTCCATCATTGTCCTTTGCAGAGCTTCTGAAGAGGAGAGAGGGTTTGAGAGGTCCTGGAAACAATCTAAGAAAGCAGGAAGAGGACAATTGAGAAGAGGAGAATGGTTTGGGATTGGCAAAGCTTCGCGAACAGGAGGAAAGAGAAGAACAACAGAGGGCGGAGGAATCCGCCATAGAATGACAGACAATAAACCTTTTCTCTTGAAACAGAGGAGAGAGAGAGGGGCAAAAGAACAGTGGCGGGGGTTCCTTTGCAGTTGACGAAGGACATATAATGTTTGTGGGGTTGACGACCGGAAGAGAGAGAGAAGGGGGGAGGCGGTGATTGTGGTTCACATGTGGCCGCGGATTAGAGCACAGAGAGATTCCTGTCATCAAGCGAGATAAAGTCCCCTCCAATCATACAAGGTGCTAACGTATTCTCGCCGGACCAAATTGTACACCAGCGATTCACAATTGGAAAATCCTTTCATAGGGTTACCCTATTGAAACAAGTAAAGTCTCACCTTGTAACATGCCGAAGATGCAGTTTTGGCCTCGAATCTTTAAATTGGTCATCTTGGTATTGACCACGATACTTGTGAAAAAGTTAGGATTCCAAGTCCTACAAATAATATATATTGTAATAATATATTATCTAAGTTATTTATTTCGCCTTTGAAAATGTGTTCACATATCTTCAAGATCGATATATTTTTTTGAGCTTTAAATTTCATAGTCGGTGTTGGAAATTAATTTTAAAGTCATTATGAAAAATTTTGATGCTATACTTTGTTTTCATAAAATCCTACACCTTATAGAAATGCATGCCGTTTGTATAGAGCCTTGGCTCTATGCAATCAAATTAGAGCCTACATTCAAATAGTGTGGAGAATGTAGTTTCAATACCGAAAATTTTTGTGATGGCATTAAAAGATATTTTATATTTATTGATAAATTTAAAGATTAAAAAATAGTTTAGATCAATAAATCTGTGAAAACTTGAAATTCTTGAAAATTGACGGTCCAAAAATGCATTATAAAATACACTATTTCCAGAAGATCAATTTGAAGATATTTGGACATCAAAAAAACCTCTTCTAGTGAAATTGTTGAGGTAGGCTCTAATTTGATTGTTTAGAGCCTGGACTCTATATAAACTTTTCCCTATAGAAATTGCGTGCACAACAATTTAATCGACCAAGGCAGGGACAAATTCCCGATCAACCAGAAAATAGCGGTGTTTCTTCAATGTTTTTTTTTTTACAATGTTCAAATTTTATTGATATTAAACCAGATTACAAAATAGCAAAGGTCATCAATAGTCACAGGCGCAACCAGAACAACACCCCTTTTAGCTAAAGAATCAGTTAATTTATTAGCCTCCCTGTACACATGAGCTAAGGATAAGGTCAAAGAGGATATCAGCTCATAGGTTTGAATCCCGATGACTTTAAGTTGCCAAGGAAAGAGTTGCTCTTTCTACACCATTTGATCCATCCATCGAATCCCCTTCAATGATAACACCTTCCACTGTATTTCTCGCCACTAGTAATTTCAGGCCATGTAAAATCGCAAGACGTTCCACATGATTTGCCATTGTAACTGCACACGGTCAAGCATATGCGACAATTACATATCCTTGCCAATCCCGGATAGCACCACCGAAACCAACTGGACCTAGGTTGCCCAACGAACTCCCATCAAAATTCAACTTTAGCACTCCATGATCTGGTGGCTTCCATCTGGTTCAATGTCTAATCTTTGGCACATCCAATTGAAAAAGATTGGAGAGGTTAATAAAAATATCAACCTTAGATAAACCCATGCCTTCCTTGGTAACAGCTAACCACGGCCATAGGGAGAGGTTGATATTATTTAATACCATGTCATAGCTACAAACTTTCCCTTCAAAGGTTCTCCGATTTCTCTCCAACCACACTTCCCACAAAATGACACTGCGAAGAATCTTCCAAATAGAGCTCCTAATTTTCGGTAAAGGCACCTCAAGTTGAGCTATCAAGCCCAAGGCATATTGTGGTAAGGCTAGGTTTGTCCCCAGCAATTGAAAGCACCACCACCAAATTTTGGATATAAAGTAACAATGTATAAACAGGTGCACCCCATTCTCGCCATCTTCCTTGCACATTAGGCATACATTTGTGATAACCTTCCCTCTTTAAATTAGGTTATCAACAGTTAGGACTTTATCTTGGGTCGCTAACCAAAGGAAAACTTGCACTTTATGAAGAATAGGCTATTTCCATATTTGCATTATCTTCGGAAGAGACCAACCTACTCTGTCAAAGAAAAGGAATCTATAGACAGACTTAACAAAAAATTGGCCATCATTTTCAATTTTCCAAACCACTTCATACTCATAATGTTACCTAATGAATGTTTGCTCAAGCTCTTGTAACAGGTTGAGAAGCGGTAGATAAGGATAACTATGAATTATGTTATAAGGGAAAGTGATACTCCAACTAGCATGTTGCCTTTAACTTCCACCAACTCTGCCGCCGTTGCCAGGGGGAGATTGACCTTATCAAACAAGAGGGGATAGACATATTTCAAGAATTCATCTCCCAACCATTTATGGTGCCATAATGAAACCGTAGTTCCCGAGCCAACCAGCCATCGAACATTGCGATCTACATTCTGTTTGAGGGCATAAATATCTCTCCATAGAGGGGAGGTACTCTCCTTCCTCTCTCCTCTGTTTATCCACATCCCAAAACCATCCACACCGTACTTTGAGAGGAGCACTTTACAGCAAAGCTGTTGTTTGCATGTAAGACTCCGCCACCACCATTTACATAGCAGTGTTGTATTCATTAGCGGCAATCTTCTCACCCCTAAGCTTTCCGCTCTCTTTGGTGTGCAAACCTTGTCCTACCGAATGAGGTGATATCTTCTTTCGTCTCCAAAAGAGCCCTTTAGAAAATTGCGCGTCATATATTCGATATGCCTTGTCATTGCCCTTGGCATTCGCAACAGAGACATTTGGTATATTGGTAGATTTGCTAAACAAAAGTTCAGCAAGGTAACTCGCTCCCTCCATAGATAGGTACTTTGGCTTCCACATTCGCTCATGCATGTTTGCTTCTTAAATTTGCGATTAAATTGCAGGTTTGGTATAAATGAATATATTTTGTTTTTTCACATGTAAGAACTTCTTCATGTGATGAGGTGTGAGAGTTATTTCACACCAATTGATTGAGCTCATTTTTTCAAACCATGTGACACCCAATTGGCATGAAAAAATTCCTATGCCTAATCACGTGGGAGAGTTCTTTCATGTAAAAACACTTTCACAAAAGAATTTCGCATGTGCCAAAACTGTGAGTGTTTTATATCTCAAAAATAAGGTCACAAAATACAGGGTACCCAAGGAAATGCAAACATCGCTCCAATGGTGCATGCAAACTTTTGGGGATTTTGGATAGAGGAATTAGGAATTCTCAACAAATGCACACGACAGAGAGAGAGTGTGTGTTCTCTTTTTTGAAAAACTTTATAATTGATCATCTGGACATCGAGATTAATGAATATGAAAAAAAAAAAAAAGGATTTTGAATACCAACAATAATGCATCTTTCAACACATTATCTAGACCGTCAGTTTTCAAGATTTTCATATGTTTATAAACCTACTTGATTTTAACCATATTTGGACCTCCAAATTTTATAATTCGATATGGAAATAGATTTTCAGAGAATCTTAGTAATGTTTTACACCAAAATTGCATATTGTGATAAAATTTGGGGGTGCGCATTACTTGGATTGTTTAGGGTTGCAACCTTATAGAAACCACACCCTTCGTTTAAAAATGAACATGTTTCACCTTTCTTCATTTTCGCTTGAATTTAGCCGTGCATGGTTTTATGACTTTTTGTCGTGGGTGCATGTGGGTTTTGCCCGAAGCCATTAGGCGAGTGTAGCGATAACATACATAGTGAGATCGACATCCTATTGCGGGAATGGGGTTGTGGTTTTGGTGGTAGTCTTATGAGTCTCAGTCAGGTCCTCCATTCTCATTACTAATTTTTAAAAAAATTGACTCTTTCCAAAATGGATGGGGGCATGTAATCCCGACTAATCTACCCAAAAAAAATAAAAAATAGAAATCTTTCATCGTGACGCATATAGAATAGCAGCTGCTAATGTACAATAACCTTCAACACACCTCCACAGTCCATAGTTTAGTTCAACCGTTCCAAGGTGATAACTGATACTTGTCGTAACCTGTTTGTAAATTACATGTAGCAGAGCATGCAAACTCGTTACTAGCTTATTTAGATGGATTTTGAGGATATTACATAGAAGTGGCATTGGATTATGCAATTTGTTCATTGATAACTTTGGATCCTTTCATTTCGATGTAACAACGATTTCTTTCACGTTCTCCTACTCCAAATGCAAGTACACTTTGGGAGGTTTTGGCTATATTATAAATTATTTCCTTGCGCAATCCAGGGTGGCGACCAATTCGTCAAGGGTTATTGGTTGTTGTCTAGTCCTGTGACATTGTTCGACAAAACGTTGAAACAATTCATCGGGAGTTTGATTCAGGTATTTAGATATGACTTTTCGAAAAGGCAGGGGCTCCCTAGAGAGAGTGTATTCAAAAGTCACCATGAATTGGCGAGGTTTATTTTGCACGAGTAGTGTGATCTGGGTTGGTTGAGCAAGGATATGGTAGATTTGAGCTAATGGGGTTGCCTGGACTGACCGAGATGATAGACAATAGGTTTGGGCTATTTGGATGGACTAAGCCTGATATGGGTAGGTTTGGGCTGAAACCAATTGTGCTCGAAGCTGAACATGTGCCCCGGCTGGTAAGGGCTAACACACTAAACTGGGATGACCACGAGATTCAAGAGGACCCTGACCATGCCCCTAGATTGGGACCTGAAGTGGGTCATGATGAGTGCTTTGGTGATCACAGCTTGCGTGAGGGGGTGGATTTGGCATGATTATGTTTGTCAGAGGCAAAAGAGGTCCCTTGACCTTGACTTGGATGCCGACTCGAGCTCCTATGGGGTTTGGCAAGGCTTGTGCATTGTAAAAAGGCTCTGAACTCTGGTAAGTTCCAAGGATGCTCGATTGAGAGGGACTCATAGTACTCAGAATTTGCTGAGGGTGCAATTTGATGAGCAGAGGCTTAGCTTGATGAACTCTTGGGTTTAAGCGAATACCTGACTCTCTAGTTTTCCATGATAGCTAGCCTTTTTTGGGACCATGACTCGGTTGATCCCTTACCGACTGGTTAATAGGGTTAAGAGGAAGGTTAACCCGATTCGAGTCAACTGTTGGTTTCGGGATTGTGCACTTTTGACCTACCTTGGTCATGTTCATTTAATTTTTAAC